TACAGCATTTTTGAACAATAATTACCTCTTTCCTGATTATTTACACGTCCGACCTGGAATTGCGCTTTCCGGAACTTGTAGCATTGCGAAATGGAGCAGCTGGAAAATGTCCCGAATTGCCTCTCTCTCCAGTTTTTGGTTCCCTTTTGTTATTTCTATTGATTGCATATTCATGGTGTGCCATTCTCCATGAACAGATTGACTTTTGTATATTTTTGCTGGCTACCGTAGTCATCCTGGCGGGGAATCCCACAATCCCATTTTATAGCTTCAGTTTTTCACATTCACGGGTGATTCAGAGCTATTTGGCGCCGTAACGGTGCTAGCATAGTCAAGCAGGCCATGTGGCAGCGCTTCTGCGTCATTCTCCTGACCAACGTTCAGGCCTAGAGTAATCGATGATCAGCAGAGTAGCCGCGGCTTACTCTCACAGATCAGACAGCTCGGCTCTGGTCGTCCGCTTCTGATCTTGAGCCTTGATTAAGGGGGAAGCATGCAGAGACGTTGCCTTTCAGCCCAGCTCAACTACGCTAGCACCTTTGTAACTTTTGTCTCAGGGTGACTGTCAAGTCCTGTTGCAGTCATTCTGGGCGCGGCCTCTGTTCTCCTCTTTTCTTTCCATTCCTTCTTTTCATTCATTCTTTCCCTCTTGATTCTTCCTCATTCTACTATCTTCGAATGCTCGGGTAGAAAGTGCAACGAGGAAGTGCCTCTGGACTTTCGCGAGGGAATCTGTTGACAAATGCCTTGTAATACTGTTGAGTCATACTGATTTTGCACAATGAGTTCTTCAAATGCTCCCCGCCTCCCGTAATACGCCCTAGTTGTTGACACCGGTTATTTCGGTGTTACCTACTAGTTTGCTACCTATCCTCTTATGATTTCTCAAGGGCATGAATACGAAGCAATTGATTGCATCTCTTCAGCAGATCTCTCAACGCTTCTGTTTCTTCAAATGAGATCTCTCGAGCGTAGCGGATTTCGGAGTGATGCCGTTGGTGCGGTTCATTCTTCCGAAAGTGCAAAATTTGGGGAAGTTTGGTCTTTGCTCCGAATGAATCAGGCTGAATAAGGACCACATCAGGGCTTCATGTGCAGTACATTGTCTGCCCTGCCCCTCTACTTCACCATTTCGCTGGAGTAATTAAGGAGACCTTTTCTTCTAATGAATTGATGTTCTTTGCTATGAGTAACGTCGTTATTACACTGAAAGTAGAGCAGCGGTAAGGGGCGCCGTTAGGAGAAGAACGACTTTGACGTTATCGAGCATGAATTGAATTCCGAGAACTCGAGAAGTAAGCCCACCGTAAACCCGCCCACTAGGGTCTAGCAAAGCGCTATCTCTCGGCGCTCACTCCTCTTTTTTCCAGGTTACCCAGGTTTCCACGTGAGACTCTCGTTGCAGAGTCTTTCGCGTTCCCTCCTTTATTGATCTTCTATCGCCACTGTCAGTTGTTTTCTTTGTTCGCAACGGCGCGCAGCCTTTGTTGACGCGTTCGTCATAGTTTCCCTGTGGAAGGGTAAACATTGCTGATTTTTCTAATCCTTGGTCGTTACGGAATAGCGCGTAAGGCTGAATTAGTATTTTCGTCGTCGTGGCAGCAGGGCGCTGTAGAGGGTTCTCTCGGCCAGGTTAGAAACAGACCTTTTGGAAGGGAGGGGCAGGGAGGTGAAGCGAGCCCATTCTGTCAGCAAGAAAAACAGATGGTATAGTTACATCCAGAGACTTGATAGTGCCGAAACATTGATAAAAGCTGGGTTTCGAACCCCAGGAAAAGCCGCATGAGGGATTGATGCAAGAAAGGTGTGCAGGTCAGGAGATCCGAGTTGCGGCGGCGCGGTGAAACTGTTGCGAGATGCGCAGCATTCCCACCGGCACCTAACTGACTTCATGACAAATTTCCTACAATAAGCTGAGTAAATCAAGTGGAAAAGTTGTGTAGCGTCAACTAGCTTCTGCGCGTTGCCCCAACCCAGTTCACCTGGCCCGCGCCAGAGACAAGTCAGAAGGTCAGAGGAGGTTCAAAGAGATTGTCCGAGAAGTAGTCAGTTAGTGAGAATCAGGAAAATTGAACACGGCTGTTGCTTTTTCGACTACATGAGGAAACGTTAGCGGAGTAGGATGAGGTTTATAAACGCTGTTCGGCTTGGAAAGGGCATTTTGCACTGTCGCTGTTCCTGTTGCTAGTTCCTGTTAAATTACAGGTATCAACAAGGTGAGAGCTCTAGACTCTTGTCAAGTATTATCGATGCTCCTGCAACTTCATAGCTTCGCAGAGTTGACAGGTCCCCACAGGAGGCATCGACAGTGATCGATGGGAACCAGGAAAACACCCCCACCAAAGCGAACTGTGTCTAAATCGGTGCCAATGAGCATCAGCTGTTCTGCCTGGCACCGCGCTGACGGTATTTCGTCAGGATTTTCTTGACGACCCAAGATTTTCTTTCGACGGTTTCGTACTTGTCACAGTTCTTACTGAGTTACACCGCCAGGATGTATAAGTTTTGTTTTTACCTTCCGATTTCCGGTTTTCGACAGCTTGCACTAAACTGGCGTATTCAGTGCTGAAAGGTGCCAGGAAGCCCTTGCAAGCCAGAGAATGAGGATTTTCGGCCAAGAACTCGGGAAAGCGTAAAACTGTCCCTTTGTGTGGACAACACGTAATTAGGATGAATTGCGCGCTTTGAACCAGAATACCCTATTTCACTGGAACAGAAACTCTGGCACCTGCAGCCTCTTGTTTATTATTTTGATCACCGATCATTGTTGTTATTATTATTTTGATCACCGATTATTTTGATCTGGCTTGTGCGGACGCTGATAACCTTCTGACTTGTTGTTTTTTTTTGTCTAAAAGCAGTTCATTTGGTTGTTTCACTTCGGGGGATATGTCACCTACCTTGCCGTCATGGACACTTTTGAAGTGTTCGGAGGGTTGAAGACGCTCCAGATGTTCAGCAAATTCGTGAGAGTTCTTCCTTGTAGAGGTAGTCTTGCCTTTAGTCTCTAAGGTTATCCAACTCGTGGCTTCGCAGTAAGTTACGAAGGCGTTG